AAATCTTCAAATGGGCTACTCAAAACAATGTGAAGTTCAATGAAGAGTAATTTCAGCTACTCAGACATGGAAAACTTGAGGAAATTAAAACCGTATCAAGGTATACAACAAATTCTAACCATACTATAGAGCGAAATTGTAATGTGAAAGTCCTGGGAGTGATAATGTCAGAGGATCTCACCTTCAAAGATGACAACTATGTATCTACCACATCTGCTAGAAAAATGATAAGGGTGGATAACGAGAACATTCAACGCTAAGGACGCCAAACCCATAATGATTCTCTTCAAATCGCTTGTTCTCTCTTGGTTGAAATACAGCTGTACAATAACCCCCCCATCCTCAAGGCAGGCGAAATTGCTGACCTGAAGAGTGTACAAAGAACTTTCACGGCACACATAAGTACGATAAATTACCTAAATTACTGGGAACGGTTGAAGTCCCTAGATTTGTCGTCCCTGGAAAGCAGGCGAGAGAGATACATGATAATATACACTTGCAAAATATTAGAAAGATTAGTACCAAATCACTCCCTATTAAAGTATTAGACTCTGCAGGAGATGGAACATTTCCCCAATGAAAAGCAGGGGTGCCACGATTACACTGAGAGACAACAAAATAAGTGTCAGGGGCCCAAGACTGTTCAACTGCCTCCCAGCATACATAAGGGGGATTACCAATAGATACCTGGCTGTCTTCAAGAAAGCACTGGACAGGCACCTAAGTCAATACCTGACCAGCCGGGCTGTGGTTCGTACGTCAGTGTGCATGCGGCCAGCAGTAACAGCCTAGTTGATCAGACCTTGATCCACCACGAGGCCTGGTCTTAGGCTGAGCCGAGAGGTAGTTGACCCGCGAAACCCTCGCCAGGTATACTTTAGGTCTCCAGGTGTAGTTGCAACGTGTTTCCGAATTAGGAGACAAATTGTTTTTGTCAAATAGCAATTAGGTTCGTGGTCGCCTTCTTTAAGCAGCCTTCTTTAAGCAGCATTCTTTAAGCGGTTCTGGGAAACCATTCTGTCAGATGAATGAAAGACTCGCTTATGCGTACGGCATAAAGTAACACTTGGTTGAGCTAAAAGTACAGACTATTTTGGTAAAGTTTTCTATCTCTCAGACAGACCGTCGTCAGATCCCTGAGACACTCACTCTAACTCGCCTAAAAGAACCACTTTTAACTAACAATGACTTTTTGACGGCCACTAACTTATTGTACATGCTTTGAATTTAATTATGACTTTACACTGCCCCTCACCTACACTAACGCCTACCCTTTCATACCCCCAGTCCCTACCCTCTCGTACTCCACGCCTATCATACTCCACCCCTCTAATGCCCCTACTTTTCATATTCCACCCCTCTCATACCCCTCCACTCTCATACCCCTCCACTCTCATACCCCACCACTCTCTTTCATACTCGTTTCCCTGTTGGACCAATATCGGATCAGGGCATATGTTTTTAATATAATTTATGTAATTCGGGATGATTGTTTTCATTGATTAATTGTATGTTACTCTCGCTGTCCTCTATAATTCTATCATGTTTTACCACAATATTTGTGGAGAAATCCTTTAATAAAAATGTTTTAGCCACTAGTGACTTCCTGAGTCATCATAATATTAACATGAATAGAAAGTACATCATTATTAACAATGACTGTTAATGTCATTATTATTAATACTATTAAAGGAGACTTTTCGTCACTCGAGGCGAGATGTTCCTTTTCTTAAACGTTCTGAAATGCGCATAAGTGTCTTTCTCCACATCTTGTCTGTATATCATCATTTACTTATGGTTAAACTCCTTGATGTCTCAGACTCCAGCATTACAGTGAATCCTACATTTGATTCTTAACATCTCTTCTTCTACAACATTGTGTATTCATTGTTTCTAGTTTTCAGTAACAAGAATGTTTTTTGCGAATTTTCAGCACTTGTCTTTTCCTGACTTTCTTTTTTCCAGTTGAGTGACTGCTGCATTGTGATGACTGCAACGTCCTTAATCTTACTGACATTGTGATGACTGCAACACTTTAATCTTACTGGCGTTGTGATGATTGCAACGTCCTTAATCTTACTGACATTGTGATGACTGCAACACTTTAATCTTACTGGCGTTGTGATGACTGCAACGTCCTTAATCTTACTGACATTGTGATGACTGCAACACTTTAATCTTACTTGCGTTGTGATGACTGCAACGTCCTTAATCTTACTGACATTGTGATGACTGCAACACTTTAATCTTACTGGCGTTGTGATGACTGCAACGTCCTTAATCTTACTGACATTGTGATGACTGCAACACTTTAATCTTACTGGCGTTGTGATGACTGCAACGTCCTTAATCTTACTGACATTGTGATGACTGCAACACTTTAATCTTACTGGCGTTGTGATGACTGCAACAACCTTAATCTTACTGACATTGTGATGACTGCAACACTTTAAGGCCAGTGAGAATTCCTTAATTTTACACTCCCTTTCCATGGATCGGTCCAGACTGTCTCCAGTCCCTGCGGGTTGATCGCTTTCCCAGATAAAAATAAAATAAATGAACTTGTCTCAGCCACCCTGCTGACACGCTAATAATTTTAAGAAAAAAACTTCCAATGTTGTGATTTCTTGATGACAATTACGAACTTTTGATCCTACAGTCCTTTGTTAGATAAACCTAACTACCTCCCATTCCAAGAAACGTTTATGACCCCCACAAGTTAAATACTTTCCAATGATTATAACAATCCAAATTTCATAGATTACCCAGGTACTTAAAAGAGTATCGATTGTTTTCAACCTCACCCAAGAAGTTTCTCATATGGAAAACATTTTTCCCTTGCAGGTTATGGCTTATTATTCTCAAGAGTTAAATCTGCGTCCGATTCCCTAGATCAGCCCTGATTATCGTTCTTTCCAAAAACCTTAAACCTTTAACCTTCACGGGTTTAGTGTTTCTGTACTAAAATAGAAGCAAGAGCAATATTTGTTTTACCTGTTAATTTCATGTGAAAAAAACGTAAAATATTTCCATATTTCTTGCACAAGATGAACATAGTATAGAACAAAGTAAACAGTTGCCTGCACATCAGTGACGAGGAAAATTAATTTATATTTAAGAAAGTTTTGTCTGGAATTCTTCGTATTAACTGAATAAAGAACTTGAAATAATTGTCAATTTAATTTGATCTGCATATTATGGAAATGAGGTTCATAGCCTACTAACTCACCTAAAAACCAACAATGTTTTTCACAGCCTAATTATATCTATTGACAGTATAAAAAGTACTACCTTATAAAAACACCTACCTTACAGTCAACAATGTACATCATATACTACTCAGACCTACCTTACAGTCAACAATGTACATCATACACTACTTCAGACCTACCTTTACAGTCCAAACAATGTACTTCATCCACTACTCAGGGACTACCTTACAGTCAACAATGTACTTCATACACTACTCAGACCTACCTTACAGTCAACAATGTACATCATACACTACTCAGACCTACCTTACAGTCAACAATGTACATCATACACTACTCAGACCTACCTTACAGTCAACAATGTACTTCATACACTACTCAGACCTACCTTACAGTCAACAATGTACTTCATACACTACTCAGACCTACTTTACAGTCAAACAATGTACTTCATACTCTACTAGACCTACTTACAGTCAACAATATACACATACATACTCAGACCTACCTTAACAGTCAACAATGTACATCATTACATGCTCAGTCCTACCTTACAGTCAACAATGTACATCATACATTACTCAGACCATACCTTACAGTCAACAATGTACTTATACACTTCGCAGACTACCCTTAACAGTCAAACATGTACTTCATTCACTGCTCAGACCTACCTTACAGTCAACAATGTACTTCATACACTACTCAGACCTACCTTACAGTCAACAATGTACTTCATACACTACTCAGACCTACCTTAAGTCAACCCAATATACATCTTACACTACTCAGACCTACTTACAGTCAACATGTACATCATACACTACTCAGACCTACCTTACAGTCAACAATGTACATCATACACTACTCAGACCTACCTTACATTCAACAATGTACTTCATACACTACTCAGACCTACCTTACAGTCAACAATGTACATCATACACTACTCAGACCTACTTACAGTTCATACCAAGTACTTCATACACTACTCAGACCACATACCATTCAACATGTTACTTATACACTACTCAGACCTAACTTACAGTCAACATGTACTCATACACTACTCAGACCTACCTTACAGTCAACAATGTACTTCATACACTACTCAGACCTACCATACAGTCAACAATGTACATCATACTCTACTCAGACCTACCTTACAGTCTACAATGTACATCATACACTAGTCAGACCTACCTTACAGTCAACATAATATTTGCCAGTAACATTGTTCACTTCTTCAGACACTGCCAGGTAAATACTTGTCTGGGCTCCAAGTTTCTCGTCCTGAAAAATATCGAGTCATGAATAACTAAATAATTGCTCATTTATAAGTATATTACTGAGTGAAGCTCTTTAAGTGAGGTGTTTTGTTGCCGTAGAGGTGTTATTGATCCAGTAATAAGAGCTATTCTCTCCATCCTCAGATCAAACTTCATTACCTTAAATTCCCGCGAGGTGCATGAACCCTACGGGTTTAGATCTTCCTGCTAAATATAATAATTATTTGCTATTTAAGCATCAAAAGTGTGGCAGTAAAAATATGTGAACCAACATGGGATGCATTTCATGACCCGAAAAATAGCTGACAAATAATTACTTTTCTACATTATCAATAACTGTAAAAATCATGCTTCTATAATTTTACTTTCAGCGTCAACATTTATAATCATAATTAATAAATATTATTTGAAGATACTTACTTTTCCCATAAGCCTAACAAGTAAGTCCAATATAGCTTCGATAAGCTTAGTTTCACCTTTCCACAGGAACTCTGTGTACACCACACCTGGGTGGACGCTGTTAGCCGTCACATCTGCAGATAAAAAAAATAAAATATTTAGCATTTCCTTTCTTTTTTCATTAATTATGTATCATTATAAATAATTTTAAGGAGATAAGCCATTAAAGGAAAGTCCTGCTTGCTGATGTGGTGTTCTTGATAGTAGGAATGGAACCTGACCTCTCCTGCCTACCATTCCCAAGGTGCTGTATCACCCATATGGGTTTAACGATTCCCCTTCTTAGTAGTAATAATTTTAAAGTATAAAATGTATTTAGAGAGATATTGAACCATGCAAGTTAGAACATATTTAGAACACCAATATTAATAATGAACGAACCTGTTCTCCTCAGCTTCTCTGACAGTTCTTTGGTAAACAAGATGTTTGCTAGTTTGCTGCGACCGTAAACGACAAAGCTATTAGGGAACGGATTTTTCTCGTAGTTCAGGTCATCTACATTAAGTGATGAACCCATGTGATGTGCTCCAGAAGACACATTGACCACTCGACTTGGAGCACTTGTCTTCAACAGCCCTAGAGAAATAAGAGTATTATACTTAATTCTGTGGTCAAATTAAGTCATTATCTTTATTTTTATATTCAAATCTGGTTTAGAAAGACACGTAAGCAAACACTATGACATATTTATTAGAAAACGTTTCGGTCCTGGTACCTTGATCACTTCTAACATGTTAGAAGTGATCAAGGTCCCAGGACCGAAACGTTTTCTAATAAATATGTCATAGTGTTTGCTTACGTGTCTTTCTAAACCAACTTGTCGGTATTTATTACCAAGGTTTATACCATATTCAAATCTGTAAGTGTAATATATTTCATACTATTTTAGTGATTTAAATAAAGGAATATTTAAATTTCACCGTCTCAGTGAAGTTGTTCGTCGTACATAAGTGGGTGGTATACCTGGAGTGTTATTGAGTGGTATACCTGGAGTGTTATTGGGTGGTATACCTGGAGAATTGATATGTGGTATACGTATAGTTTTGGCGGGTGGTATACGTCGGATGTTGGTGGGTGGTATACCTGGAGTGTTGATGGGTGGTATACCTGGAGTGTTATTGGGTGGTATACCTGGAGTGTTATTAGATGTTATACCTGGAGTGTTATTAGATGTTATGCCTGGAGTGTTATTAGATGTTATACCTGGAGTGTTGGTGTGTAGTATACCTGGAGTGCTGGTGCGTGGTATACGTCGAGTGTTAGTTTGTGGTATACCTGGAGTGTTGATGGGTGGTATACCTGGAGTGTTGGTGCGTGGTATACGTCGGGTGCTGATGGGTGGTATACCTGGAATGTATGTGCGTGGTATACGTCGAGTGTTGGTGGGTGGTATACCTGGAGTGTTAATGGGTGGAGTACCTGGAGCGTTGGTGGGTGGCATACCTGGAGTGTTATTATGTGGAATGCCTGAAGTGTTATTGGGTGGTATACCAGGAGTGTTGGTGTATAGTATACCTGGAGGGTTGGTGAGTGGTATACGTCGAGTGTTGGTGGGTGGTATACCTGGAGTGTTAATGGGTGGAATACCTGGAGTGTTGATGGGTGGAACACCTGGAGTGTTGGTGGATGGGATAGCTGGAGTGTTGATGGGTGGTATACCTGGCTTGTTGATGGGTGGTATACCTGGCTAGTTGATGGGTGGTATACCTGGCTAGTTGATGGGTGGTATACCTGGAGTGTTGATGGGTGGTATACCTGGAGTGTTGATGGGTGGTATACCTGGAGTGTTGGTGGGTGCTATAAATGGAGTGTTGGTAAATAGTTTACCTGGAGTGATAGTGAGTGGTATACCTGGAGCGTTGGTGGGTTGTATACCTGGAGTGTTGGTGGGTGGTATTCCTGGAGTGTTGTTGGTGGTTTCCCTGGAATGATGGTGGGTGGTATACCTGGAGTAGTTAGTGGGTTGTACACCTGAGTGGGTTGTGTGTGTTATACATGAGTCTTTGTAGGTGTATACCTGGTGTGTTGGTGGGTGGTATGCTTGGAGTGTTGGTGGATGGTTTCCTGAGTGGTTGGTATGTGCTATACCTGGAGGTCTCTTGGTGGGTGGTTTACCTAGAGTGATGGGGGTGGTGTGCCTGGGGAGTATATGGTGAGGGTGGTATACCTGGAGTGTTGTTGGGTGAATACCTGGGTTTGGTGGGTGGTATACCTGAGTGTTGGTTGGGTGGTTTATACTGGAGAGTCGGTGGGTTGTTATCCAAGACTGTTGGTGGGAGTTGGTATACTGGGAGTGTTTGGTGGATGGTTATACCTGGAGTCTTGCGGGGTGGTTTACCTACTGAGTGATGGTGGGTGGTTACCTGGTGAACTGGTGGGTGTGATACCTGGAGTGTTGGTGAGGTGGTGTACTGGAGTGTTGGTGGGTGGTTACACCTGGAAATGATGGTGGGTGGTATAACCAAGAGTGATGTGGGTGGTATACCATGGAGAGTTTCTGGAGGATGTCCCGAGGGGTCAACTTCCCCCCGGCACAGTCCATAAACCTTAGACTGGGAGGATATACAGCTCTTATTTATGTGAGCTGAGGGCAGGATAACCAACTCTTATCTTGTGTGGATCTGAGGCAGGATAACAGCTCTTACCCTTGTGTTAGCTGAGGCAGATAACAACTCTTACCTTATGTGAGCAAAGGCAGGATAAAACTCTTACCTTGTGTGACCTGATGCTGGATAAACAACTCTTACTTCGTGTGACTGAGGCGGGATAAAAAAACAGCCCTTTGCCTGTGCGACCTATGCTGGATAACTCTTACCTTGTGTGACCTTGAGGCAGGATTAACAACTCTTACCTTGTGTGACCTGGGAAACAGGATACAACTCTTACTTTGTGACTGATGCAGGATAAGAGGCTCTTTACCTTGTGTGACATGAGGCAGGATAAACAATTCTTTACCTTGATTGTGACCTGCAGCAGGGTTAAAAACTCTTTCCTTGTTTACCTGGAGTTTACCTGGAGAGAGTTCCGGGGTCAACGCCCCCGCGCGCCCGCGTTCTGTGACAGGCCTCCTAGTGGTTCAGAGGCCTGACAACCCAGGCTGTTGCTGCTGGCTTGCACGCAAAACCAACGTACGAGCCACAGCCCCGGCTGATCAGGAACTGACTTTAGGTGCTTGTCCAGTGCCAGCTTGAAGACTGCCAGGGGTCTGGTTGGTAATCCCCCTCATTGTGTGCGCTGCGGAGGCAGTTGAACAGTCTCGGGCCTAGACACTTATTTGTATGGTCTCTTAACGTGCTGTGACACCCCTGCTTTTCATTTGGGGGGATGGTGCATCGTCTGCCCCAAAAAAACAGGGGAGGGGTCGTTTGCTTTCGTAGGGAGGTGAGTGATTTATCGTGTGCAAGTTCGGTACTCGTCCCTCTAGTATTTTCCAGGTGTATATATCATGTTCTCTCCCTCCTGCGTTCCAGGGGAATAAGGTTTAGGAACCTCAAGCGTCCCAATATCTGAGGTGTTTTATCTCCCGTTATGCACGCCGTGAAAGTTTCTCTGTACATTTGCATAGGTCGGCAATTTCACCTGCCTTGAAAGGTGCTGTAGTGTGCCAGCAATATTCCAGCCTAGATAGAACAAGTGGACCTGAGGAGTGTCCATCATGGGTTGGCCTCACTAGTTTTGAGGTTGCTCATTATCCATCCTGTCATTTTTCTGAGCGATGCGATCTTGATACAATGCTATAGTCTTGAAGGTGGAGATCCTCCGACATGATCACTCCAGGTCTTTGACGTTGGTGTTTCGCCTCTATTTTGTGGCCAGAATTTGTTTTGTACTCTGATGAAAGATTTAATTTCCTCATGTTTTACCATATCTGAGTAATTGAAATTTCTCATCGTTGAACTTCATATTGTTTTTCTGACGCCCACTGAAAGATTTGGTTGATGTCCGCTGGAGCTTTGCAGTGTCTGCAATTGGATAGACACTGTCATGAAAACTGCAAGGGAATATGAGGCCCAATCTTCAGGATTGACCATCCATGCCGAACGTGCTATTCTCAGCACGTCCCACAGCTAACTCAACAGAAGATCAAAAACTCAATCGCAAACTTCAGTACCTCTGCACTAACTCAGTCGATGGAGGAAATGGGACGCGAATCCCTGATAAACAATTATCGTCAAGCCCTTAAACGATACGAAAAAAACAAGCATGAGTCTGGGACTCAAAATTTACACCAAATACGCAAACCTAAACTACAACTTCAATCTAGTTACCAGGAACCATAGACACAGTGACAGCAACTTTTCGAGGGTTATATACAGGGCCTTCTCACTGCAGCTTTATGTGAACCTTCTCTTTAATCTTCCTAGACGATACATCACTGACCTTAAGAAACCTCGCCAACGACCCAACATTATCGTCACACCGCCGACAAAAGGAGTGAGTCGTCATACTCAACACCATGAATACAACACTAAAATGATGGGACCTTTTGAATGATCATCTACATACGAATACATCAGCACTCAACAGTGGAGACGCTCACCAAAGGATTTTCTATACAAAACAGAACAATACTCAAACGCACGAATGAGAAGGGAAGAAACTTCTGTTACTTGTTACCAAGCAACCCTAACAAGAGAGATCATACATGTATGGTTTACCCAGACCCTAAACACATATTCCTCTCAGACCAATCACGTCAGGAATAGGCAGAGCTCCACACAAACTAGCCGAAGTTCTTCAAACATCTTTCTGCCTTCTGGGGACCATCAGCCCCGCCTCATTCTTAAAAACACTCAGCCACAATAAATGTCACATTAGTTGCATTGTGTCCTTTTACTTTACAATAATAATAAAAATAATTTTAATAATAATAAAAATTTTTTAATAAAAATTAATAATAATAAAAAAATATTTTTTTTTTCAAAAGACATGTACAGGTATCAGGTCTAGTGATTCAGTGACATCCCACACATAGCAACTGTTCAAAATGGTTCAATCCCGAAAGAAAATTAAGACACGGGAAACATTGGGTATCTTTATTGTAGAGTTCTGCCCCAATGGTTTATCAATACAGATTTGTTTTGAAGACAGTTAAACTATATACAAAAAATGGGGAAACAGTCCCTAGCCCTTTGGGGTTAGTGTGAAGGCACCATAGTCGTGAAGACTCTGAGCACAGGAAGGGGGAGTGGGTTTTATAATTTCTGGTCAGGCAATGGGTGGAAGCAAAGAGGGCTATCATTGGTAACTGGGGTTCTTCGTGGGTACTCAATTACCCATCCCTTTGGGTATGACCACTTCCACTGGGGAAACCGCCTACCCGGACTATGCCCTGTCTGGTATCCCTCCCCTTTTAACCCGACGAGTATATCAGCACCACCTCCTTCCCAGTGCCCCGCCGGGTCACATCTGGGGGAAGACCGGGCAGGGTGTCCGGCGAAATGCTTTAATGAATGAATGCCTCTGCTCCCGAATCTTCACGTCTACGGTGCTCATCACACCAAAATCCAAGGGGAGGGATGTTACCTCATTTTTGTATATAGTTCTATGCCTTCAAATTTTTTCTAGAATCGTAT